GGGTGAAATTGTCATTTTCTTTAATAAATTATAAATTGAGAATGAGAGGAATCAATTTAACTCAAGAAATTAAGAGGTGCACTTATTAAGGATGATTAAACAAAAAAAGTCAGGTGCATTAAGTCAGCCAGGTGCATGAAGTTGTCATTTCATGCCTAGTCTAACCGATTTCAGCCCACTTGACTTTTTTTTTTTTTTTTTGACAAGGATAATGATTAAAAAGTTAGTATGAATTAGTTGTTAGTAATTGGGGATTCGATCTTCAGACCAAGTGAATATTTCACCCCCTTAAATAAAGCACGCAGCCATCAGGTCGTTTTTTAGTAGAGTTCATGATGGTGGTAAAATTCAAAACTCCGACGACGGTGGTAGAATTCAAAACTCCGACCACCTCATCCAAACAATTAAGACTTGAGATTGAACCATTAAACCTAAAGATCTGGTTCAGCCCGCCTTGACTTGACAGGAATACATCTGTCTGTAACAATTAACATGTTAAATCTCTATTATATAGCTATCATCACATGTTATATAAAGGAAACACTTCAGCCGAGCACATTCCCAATCAGTAATAAGGGCTTAATTTTGTGGCACCCGAACCTAACATTGAGTTCGACCATTAATATTAATCTCCGTCTCCTAAATATATAATTATAATGTAATTACTTTATTTTAAAAACACACACACTTTAATTTCATTTCCCTTAAAAGTTATTCAACATTACACTTATGGAAGAAAATGAAGATAAAGCCATAAACCACAAGATATGGTACAATCTATATTGCTACATGATGGAGGGTACGGCGCCTCTTCAGTCCGCAGAGGTAGCTCGTATTGAACAGTTTTCTAGACTTGGTCGCTGCAGCTGATGGTGTAACACAGCTGCTGAAAGCATGGCCATCGAGAATTGGCTGGACCATAATATCACAGCTGCGCTTGTCAAGCCAAGCTATGATATCAGCAAACACTATTTCTATGTTTTCTTCTGTCTCACCGAATGTTAATCCATGCCACATGCCCGGGTACAGTTTTATGGTCTTGTCTCTGCTGCTGGCTTTCTCATACAAGGCCTTGCTCACTTCTGGGTCCGTAACAATGTCTGCTTCTCCATGTAACACGAAGAACGGCAGCATTATCTGTCAAAAGCATTATCTGTCAAAAACAACCCCAACAACCAACATAAATGTGAAGTAAATGGAGGTAGGTGATTGCTTTTGTGGAGAGCAATAATTTCCAACCACCTCAGATACATATCGTCAAATAAGAGAAAAATCAAAGGGAAAAATGTAGACGGTACAAAAAAAGGAAGGTAATTAGTTAACCTCATGTAAACTGTCTTCCAGGTTCATGCTGGTTCTGAGCATTTCTAGTGCTGTTTTCAGTCTTGGTTTGTCTTGGTATATCAACTTATTGTTCCTTACCTGCATCAAGAATCCAGGACTCCATGATCTTCATTCAGCTACTGTAATGCCTCATTTCTATGATCCAATTCAGGAATTTTAGAAGAAGAAAAACAAGGTGTTTTTACCTCTTCCCGCTTATTGGGGTCCTTGAACGCAGAGTCAATAACATCTTTTGTTGGTACAATTTTCCATTTCGGTATGATGTCTTCCATTTTAGTCAATATGTTCACGACAACAGGGTGAGGCTTCACTTTCTCTGATATCTGAAAAGTTTTAACCATGATTAGAATTCATGGATAACAAATGCTATGCTATGATTTTTTATGTGCTAGTAAATATATACCTTACACATTGGTGCAACAAGAATAGCACCATTCCAAAAGGAAGGGTCCTTCTTGTGCAGAAGCAGGGCAACAGCTCCTCCCATTGACTCTCCATACAGGAACCTACCCTTGTCTCTGTGTCCTTCCTGCACTGCAGATACATTTCAACTGATTATATAAAAAATAAATAGATCCATTCGCTATAAGAGACTTGGGTTAAGAACATACTACAAACAGACTTGAAATATTCACTGCTGTCGTTAACAATGTTGTTGAACTTCCTAATGTAACAACGAATACCCATAGACTTTCCATGGCCTTCATAGTCAATCCCATATACACCATATCCTGCACCTGCTAGCCTGGTTCCACATTCTAATAAAATCAAGACGTCACATTAAAATTGTGCCTTTAGAACTACATTTGTGAATTTATACTACACAATATGCTATTTATCCTTTTCATTTTACCCCTCTAATACATAAAATTATCATAAATCATCCTCTACAGACATCCTCTCACCAAGCTAATGGAGAGGACCATTCAACAAAGCTTGCTGCGTTTGCCTAGCTAATGAATTCTCTGTGGATAAGACTATGACCAAAGTAAAAAATGCGGTATTCTGCGTACACAAAATGGAAACAGAGCAAGAAATGGACCATCTTCTTCCAATCAGTAGGTTATTTTCTTGAATATACTAATTTAATGTTTATAGGCATCTCAGTGGTCATCTTCTTTTCGTTGGAACTAAGAGATCCTGAGTTCGAGTCGTATAGCATGTGGATGAGGTGAGATAAGGGATGAGATGGTTGTCTCCCATTGTGCAACCAAGATACAAAAAAAAAAAAAAAAAAAGTTTCTCGGTATCCTTCATAGGTTTGATGTACTTAGGTGGGCCTTAGTGCTGTTGAGAACAAGCAACAGATAGTTTGCCAACTTAACCAACCCACTTGACCTACTTATTTTAAATTTGATTCTTTAAATTTAATTTCGAAATGCAGATCCTGACCCTCACCCTCAACATTGATTATTAGTTCAAATGTTTAGCAGTGTTAACTATGCAACATCACCATCATGCATATATAACTGGTAAATGAACATCACCATCGTATTAAAAATGCTAAATCATAAGTGATAAAATAAGATACATATCATATTAGAAGAAAAGGCACCCCATTACACAGTAAATATATAACTAGTCAAGGACATATTTAGTGGTAACATCTGTATTTTTAAAAACCCCTTCAAAAGAAAGTATAAAAGGGAAAATAGAAAGGCTTAAATTGTCAATAGTATAAGACAGGTTAGCTGGTCTTATTATGTACAAAGAAAAAACTGAAATTGAATAAAGAGGTCAAGTTGCTGCCATGGTTTTAGTATGAGGTTTCACAACAAAGCAATATTGACAAAATAGAACAGAAAATATGAGCAGATCATAGACAATGACCAACTTGTCTTCTATCCTTACAAACAGAAAAAGGAAACATCATTGTCAATAATTGCACTTCACCATCTCCTTTCCTTTGTTTAGGTAAAGAATAAATTCAAAAACACAGTTGTCTTCTACGCTTAAACAATATAAGAAATTAGGTGGCGGATGCAGTGGTTGTGCGGAGGTGTCCTAACTCCTAAGGGCTACAGTTTTATCATGGCGCGGTCCTAATTTTCCCACCTATTGGAGTAAATTATTTTCCAACCCAATTAACCCCAACAATAAAACTTAGTAATTACTTCTCTGGCCTAAAGCTTGTTATTTATTATTATTTTTATTATTATTATTTGATACATTTAATGAAATGAATGAGCTATACAACAGGAATAGCCAACTTCTTTCCCCAAATCCCCATCCATGTCATAGTTTGAACTTGAGACTCTAAATTTAGAGTCTCAAGTTCTTACCCATTGAGACACCCCAATGGGTAAAGCTTTTTATTTCTAAAATCAATTACATGAACGGTTACACCAACAAAAACTTGGCCAAGTTAGTACCCACTTACCTAAAAACCTGGAGTTGAGGTCAAGGTTAGGAGTTGAAACTCCTGCAACTTCAAGTAGCTAACTTTTGATGTACCAAAAAAAAAAAAAAAAATTTACCTGAACCGTTACAATTGGTTTGGAAAGCATTGTGTTGCTTAAGATATCATAAATAAAGTGTAAGACACGTGAACCTAAAGAAATTTGCACCTTTTATTTTGACAATTCAACTTCAACCGTTAGATGCAACAAATCAAAGGACAGAAATGCACTACAATGAATTGAGGGACTAAAATAGTGGAGCGTGATAAAGGAAAATAGGAAATTAAAGGGTATTTATTACCTCTCATGAATCCACTGCACTCCATGCCATAACCTGCAACAGCATTAATGAGTTAAACCACCATTTTTGTTTTCATTTTCCTTTTTCTAGCAAAAGAAGGAAACAGAGATCACAGAGTAAGAGGCCTAGCTACCATGGCAGAGGAAAACAAGCGCCTTTGGAGAAGATGAAGGCAACCATCTACAAGTAAATAGCACGGCTCCTCTTGAATTCCTTATATACTCCTATCAAAGCACACATCGAGCAAAAAACCATCAATTTTCCATGTTAATCTCAATGAAAACACACAAAAAAAACTAAGACAAGTTCAAGAACCCAGAAACATCACAGACATCACCCCACAACCATGTGTTTTTCATGTTAATCTCAGCAAAACAACAGAAAATTAACAAAAGAGCAAGAACCCAAACGTTAAACAAAGACAAGAGGACACAAAATGGAGGAAAACCCAAGTAAGGACTTACCTCCTGGTACTGAATGCTCTCCATTTTCATTAACAAAACTCAAGAACAGAACACCAACGTTGTTTTGTTTCCAACCAATTATAATGCCCGGACCATGCTTTTATCCACGATGACAAAGAGATCTCCACATAACACGACAAATCCACGGTGTGAAGAAGAAGAAGAAGAAGAAGTAGAGATCAAATGTTGGGGCTAAGATGGCTAGGAGGGAGAAAGAGATGGTGGGAGAGGGAGACACGGTGGGTAATGTGAAAGTTGGTTTACTTTAAGAGGGTGAGAACATGACAAAGTTGAAAAAGGATTTATTTATTTATTTACAGTCAATATTATTGTTTACTTTTTATATATTTTAAGATTAATATAAAAATATATTATTTTTTAAATAATTTTATATT